ATTAATACTGGGTCTGGTATGATTTCTTCTGAGGACGAGTTATTGGATTCAAAACGTAAACTGTTTCTCTCTCCACACATGCTACCAGACTTGCTAAGATTCTCCAACATTCTCTGTACAAATTATAATGCATTGGTTGGTAGGTTTAATTTGATTGCCACATGAACACATTGAAACATCTGCCTTTCACGGTGCAGACTGAAATCCAAGCTTATCAAATTGATGCAGACTCTGACTGGTTAAATTCCACTTATATTTTAGCTTCTTTGTAACACTTGTAGAGTGCTTTTTTGTCTCCACCCTCACTTGGAAATAGATCGCTGTTCCTTCAGTGTCATTGGGTCAAAAATCTGGAATTCCCTTCTAAATGGCATTGCGGGTCAACCAACAGAACATGAACTGCAGTGGTTCAAGACAGCAGCTCATCACCTTCTCAAGGGCAGCTTGCCAAACTGGTAACCATGCATTAAACCACAGTGCCATGGAGACCTTTTGGTAAAATAAAACAAAACTATATGCGACTGAACTGATTACTGGTTCTTCAAACTGAAATGGTCAAAAGATTATTGAAGTGAAATGAAATGGAGATCACCAGCAAAACAGACTGCAGAAACTGATAGTGAGCAGTGAGAGGCAGTGGCATAATGGTAATGTTACTGGACTTGTCATCCAGAACCCAGGCCTGGGGATGTGGGTTAGAATCCCACAACGGCAGATGGTGAAATTTGAATTCAGTTTAAAAACAAAATCTGGAATGAATAGCTATCCTAATGGTGACCAGGTAACCACTGGATTTTTAAAAAAAAAAAATGACAATCTGGTTCACTAATCTCTGTTAACGAAAAAAGTCTGCTGTCCTCACCTGGTCTGGCCTACATGTGAATCAAATCCACAGCAATGTGGTTGACTCTGGGCAATGAGGGAGAGGCAATAAAGACTGGCCCAGCCAGCAACACCAACATCCCATGAACAAATTTTTTTTTAAAAAAGTGCGTTCCATATCATTTCCAAACATTCCACCGAAGAATCTGAACAGTATTGCAAAAGTTGTGTTTCAATATTGCTCTTAAAGAAGCCAAAAATGTATAAATATTAAGGTTATTCTTTTCTTTCATGCACTTTCCACCTGACCAACAGTTAAACATATTAGAGGACCAAAAACAGGCAAGAACAGATCAATTTTAGTTAGTCTAATTCTCTCCCTTAGAAATGTTTCCTTACCTTAGACAGTGATACTGTCACATTCTGCACGTGAGTGTGTACTTGAGCAACGACAAAGGTAGTCTGGTTACTGATGTTTGTAACCACAATGCGTTTACATTCATTAGGCCCCAAAAGAACAGAAACAGGCTCCGAAAGAGGAACTTTAACATGATCTGTCACAAGAAAGAATCAAAACCGAAAATTACATCCCTGCTAAATCTTTAGTTACAATTTTTCTTCAGATATACTTCAACAATAAGCAACTTTAATACGACTTGGTTGTATAAAGAAATGATAAAGTATTATGCCATATTGCCAGCATGAAGTACAAACTTACACTTTATACACTTGGCTGTGAAAATGCCAAAAAAGTTATTTCTGCCATACGACAGCTGAATGCAGCAAATATGATCGATTGCTGCCTGTCCAGAACACAGGACAAACCTATCACGAAAACTCACTTTCATTTATGTAATAAATCAGTCTCAAAGTAAAGACATGTTGAGTGAGGTGGGGGAAATAGTTAACAGCAAATTTCGCCCAACAGATTAGAATTAAATTAAAAATAGACTGACAATTCTATTTTCATTCCATTATAATTTTGTGTGGTTAGGAATTATTGTTGATGCTATTCATGCTGTGACAGGTGACTTTAGTCTTACAAAATAAAATCTAAGATTGCTTAACATGGTGAATTAGAGACACATGAAAATCACAAATGATAACAAGAAGGTACTTTGTGTCACATTGTGATTACAACATTACTGATCTTAAAACTGTACCTCAAGAGAAGCTCTGTAAAGCAAGTACTTCAATATGATCTTGCATAATAATAGAAGTTTACACAGGAATCAAATTTATACCTCATTGAACCATGTAAACAGAAATTGATCCAAATAAAGTTGTTTTTTAACTCTTTCACTGGATGTGGACATTGCGAGCAAAATGGACGTGTTACCCATCACTATTGTCCTTGAACTAAGTTGCTTGTTAAGGCCATTTTAGAGGGCAGTTAAGAGCCAACGACATTATTGAGAGTCTGGAGTCACATGTAGTTCAGACCAGGTAAGGACAGTAATGTCCTTCAGGAAAGGAAATCTAATGAGCCAAATGGGCTTCTACAACAATTGAAAGCAGTTCCATGGTCATCAGCACTGACGATAACTTTCAATTTCAGATTTATTATTTGAATTTATGTTATCTCAATAAAAATGGGTAAAAAAGCTTGGCATTTTCATTATGATGGGTTCATTAATAACACTGGCAAAGACAAAAGACCGTGGGTTCGAAAACCACTTTGTAGTACATAGTCTCAGTTAACATCTTAGTACAGCCCACTAGGCAACCATAAGACAGGGTGCAGTAGTGAGAA